ACCTCAAAGCCACTTACAACGACATACAACTATAGGAAGCTATCTGCCAGCAAGTTTATAAACCATTTGGCTAATCGTAAGATGAACATACATAAAGATCCGATTGCCGAATGCATGTGCATGGGAAGACATGTTTGAACAAGTGAAATTAATCATGAGTTAATGCATAACCAAGCTCAACAATCCAAATTTTAGTTGGGGTCCATGAAGAAGGAACGTGCAAATAAACACGATTAAACTAATCTAAAACCTGCATCTGCCGCACGACACCTAGTTTCGTCAAAGCTTAAACGTAATTAACATGCATGAACCCACGACATGTGACAATCTAGATTAAAATAATTCAGCCATTACGAGCATGTTATCTATTTGCAAAGGTAATACGAAAGTAATGATCATTGAAGCACGAATAAAACCATAAGAGAGGGCCGAACAATATCAATCTAGATTGGGCAGAAGTGTGTTACAAATATATAAAATATTTAAAACATGCAACACAGGATAACTTAATGAATCTATTTAGATTTTGCCGTATCTAATAGAGCCGATAACTGTCTTGCCTTCACTAAGCATATTGAGCAAACGCCTGCCGCACGGTATCTACTCATAAACAAAGCATAAGCAAAGACTTCTTGCTTGTCAAACAAAGATCCGCCGCACGATCATTGAAAACAAACAAGACTACTTGCATCACGTCTAAATCCACCGCATGATACTAAACATGATAACAAGGTTGTCGGAACTTACGGAGGTCGACGGATCGATGACTCCTCTCGAAGAACTCGACGACACGACAAAAGGACTCGAAAGTTGGCACGGGGCCGGTTGTATTGATTTGGTTGTGAACCTCTATTACAATGGTCGAGGGTCAATATTTATACCCTAGACAAAACACGAGTCCTAAAAGACTACGATTTACAAAGGAACTCTTAAACAAACTTAGAAACTACGATTCCTTGCCCTAAACTCTCAGAGTCCTTTATTATTACAACTTTCATCTGTTCGATCGGCTTTGCCTGCCATCTTCTGCTTTCCCAAATGGAGTCACCACCTTCTGAAGTAACCAACCGCACAAGCATTTAGCCGACCGCTCGTTTTGTTTGCCGAATGTCCTTCTTCCTGTATGCGGGTCCACCTGTCATCTTCCGAAGTCGACCAAAATCCAGTGTTAACACTATGATGTTGTTTTGTGGTGTTAATGACAGAAAATACCCGTGCAGTGATAATGAACATTGGTCAAAATGTGCAATTCCCAAGATTCAATGTTTGATAAATACATTAAAATTTTGAAACTATATTTCGTCTACTTTAGACTCTCCAACTGTGTTTTAGAACTAGTAGTTTCCTACTCTAGGTTCGATTGAGACATGTAATTATTAGTTTTCTACTTCCATATGTTTATTAAATGGAGGTTGCATTGAGGCGAACCTACTGTGTCTTTATGTGTTTTGTATTTACACATTTAGTATGTAGTTTTCTTCTTTAACATTTGCATTTAGGATCTCATTTTATGGCTATTGTTACTAACATGTGATATCTGAGAGTCTAATATGTCCCTTAGGCATGACCAGAATATATATAGAATTCCTCATGGGCCATATAGGCCTAGAATATATAAGGGCTATAGGCCTTGACATACTTAACACCCTGCTCAAACTCAAGGTGGAAGCGGAGGATCTAAAGCATTGAGTTTGAGAAAGTGAAATCGATGTTGCTGTCGAGTTTGTGCTTTAGTGAAAAAAAATCTGCCACTTGCAATTCAGAGGGCACACATTAAAGAGCAATTGTTTTCTCATGACAATGAAATCGAGTAAACGAGGCATCAACACCAATATGCTCTGTAAGCTCATGCTTCACATGATCATTGGCAATTTGGATACAACTGCTTGCTTCTTGGACTTCCATGTAAGGAGAGAAGAGCCAAGAAGAATGTAATAGCCTGTCATAGAACAACGATCTATGGGATCACTAGCCCAGGTGGAGTCCGAGTATGCATAAAGATGAAGTGGACTATTGTGGGCATAGAATAAACACTGTGATGATGTCCCCCGTACATATCCGAGAACACAAAGCAAATGTCCATAATGGACTGAAGTAGGAGCAATCACAAATTGGCTCAGAATATGAGCTGCATGAGCAATATTAGGTCTGGTAACAGTGAGGTAAACAAGGCTACCTACAACATGTCAATATCGAGAGGGATCCTCAAAAGGTACACCATCAGTAGAGAGAAGCTGCAAGTGAAGATCCATAGGTGTTGCAGCTGTTCGAGTATCAGTAAGACCCAAACGAGCAAGAAGGTCTCGTATGTATTTAGACTGGGAAAGATAACAACCTTCTGTAGAATGTGAAACCTCAATCCCTATGAAATAACTATGAGGTCCTAAACCAAACATCGGAAATTGCTTACCAAGTTGTTTCTTCATAGAGGAAATATGTTCCATATCATCTCTCGTAGTCAACATATCATCAACATATAAAAGAAGCAAAGTACGCCCACGTGGTGAAAATGAATAAATAATCCAGGATCATGTTCACTAGGTGAAAAACCAGCAGCCCATATCACAAACGAAGCACTCTAACCAAGCATGAGGAGCTTGTTTCAGGCTATATAGCACGACAAAGGCAACAAACATAACCTGAAGGAGCATCGACACCTGGGGGTGGATGCATATAGACTTCCTCATTTAAATCACCATGAAGAAAAGCATTTTTAACATCCATTTGAGAGATAGTCCAAGTGGAAGTAGCCGCCACTACAATTAGAGTACGAATAGTGGTCATGTGTGCGGTAGGTGCAAATGTCTCTTCATAATACCGTCCCAGCGTCCCTGAGTCTGCTAAAATCCTCTTGTAACAAGGTGAGATTTGTATCTCTCAACAAAACTATCTAATTTGGTTTTAATCTTGAATACCCACTTACAAGTGATCGGTACAACATGTGACGATAATGGGACAAGTTCCCAAGTGCATGTACGATCAAGAGCAGCAAACTCTTCGGACATAGCAAGTTGCCATTCTAGAATACAAGAAGCTTCTTGATAAGAGGATGGCTCATCAATAATAGCACTCACACATGGAAACCCCAACTTGGCAGGAGGCTCAATAGTAGCATGATTCCATAGATTATACTGTGGACCAACATGTGTCTCATTAGAAGTAGCACACGACTCATCAGAATTAGTAGAATTATCAATATTGGGAGCGTTAGGACTGGTCGAGGAAGTAGGAATAGGAGGTTTGAGATGATGAGTGTAGACACGTGTAATGGGTGGGTGACGTGGTGGAGATGCAAGAAGGTTGGGTGGTGAATTATTAACAAGCGGCTGTGAAGGAGTGCGCAAGGGTGGAGAATCAAGGGTGCTTAAAGGAGGAGTAACATGAATGAGGGTACTAGAAGGTGACACACACTGTGGAGTGGTGTCATCACTGATGGAAATAGGAGAAAGGCACATAAAAGATGTGGACTCTGTAGGAGCACAAGATGACTTTGTAGAGGAGCTATAAAAGAAATGACGATCCTCAACAAAGTGACATCACAAGAGATATGTATGCGATGAGAAGAAAGATCGTAGCAACGATAACCCTTGTGTTCAGGACTATATTGATGTAAACGTGGCCCGATCTTCTGATAGGTATGATAACTTCGATTGGTGGATGACTCGACATTCATGATCTAGGCTTTGAACCAAGTCTGATTTGAACCTCCGTAAGCGTTACACCGCTGCTCCGTTGGTTATCAACCACGCACAACACAATTGACCTCGCCGAGAAGGCTTTTCTGCAAGTGAATCGAGAACACAAGTAAGAACTGGATGAGCACAATCTAAAATTAGAAGTATGAATGAAGTGAGTTTGATAAGAGGTTCAAGTCTTGGGTCCCGTTTGGCAGAGCTCCCAGAGCTGATTCTCTGCTGAATCCAGCAGGAGCTCTGCCAAATAGTTTTTTCAGAGAGAAGTAATTCTCTGTTGATTCTGTGAAGTGATTATCTGAAATAAACTAGGAGGTTGAGAGCTAAAAAAGTAGCTTCTCCTAATTCTATGAAGTGATTCTTATCATAATTTTAAGAGTTTATGCTAAAGAATCAAAGAGAATAACTTTCAGCCACAGAATCACTTCTCTCAGAGAATCCGCTTCCTTAGAGAATCAGAATCAGATGGAGCTCTACCAAACAGGCCCTTGATTCGAAAGGACTACTCGACACAGGCAAACAAGATCAAGAACATGGACCCTAGTTCACAAGAGTCGATTTTGACGATACAAGTGCAGCGAACAATGTCTGTTTTACGAGGAAAACAAGAATGTACAAAACCCCAAACCCTAACGAGAGCGACAACGACTAGTTATAGAGTCATGGGCGTCCCCCCTAATAGGCTCTAACATGATACACGACCCAATGGACCACAAAACGGTGTCGCAACACCTAACAAGATTCTGGACGCTGACTTGTTTCGACAATTCCCGTTGACTCAGGACGAATTTGGACGTGAAGCCAAAATCATTGGTTAGCTTATCAAATTATCTTTCCATGCAATTATGGATCGTCGAAAACAGAGTATACACCCTACTCTCTCCGTCCCAAAATAAGTGACGCTATGGTATTTGTGATGGCCAAACTTTCTTTAAGTTTGACTATATTTGTAGAAAATATTTGCAACATTTATATTTCTATATAAGTTTATTATAAAAATAGATTTAGTATCTATCTAATGATACTAATTATATACTATAAGTATTAATATTGTTTTTGAAGGAACTATAAGTATTAATATTTTTTTTATACATTTAGTCAAATTAAAAACGTTTGACTCGGAAACGGAATGACACATATTTTTGACAGCAGATGCCGAGCACGGACAATGTAGCCCATAGCCCATCCGAAAGCCTTCTGCGTTGGCCGGTTGGCCCAAACAAAACTTTAGTCCGCTTCTCCACTGAGACCCCCGAGACCCGGTCAGTCCCCTCGCTGCCGACGCCACACAAACACCTTTCCCCCCTCATGTTCACCGGCGGTGCGGACGGCAACGGCCACCTGCGGAGGCCGCGCAGGCCGCGGCGCAGCGGAGTAGGCCACGCCGGCGTCATGGGGTCTCCACAGGGACAGGTGGCTTCGGGGGCAAATCCGCATCCAGCCGCCCCGCCGTGCACCGACTACGACGTAGCCTACTTCAAGGCCTACTCACACATTGGCGTCCACGAGGAGATGCTCAAGGTTTTTACACCACATTCTTCTCACATTTCTAGCTTCTCCATGGGGGATAATTGGGCGGATGTGTTCCCTGATGCGTCAGCGGAGTTAGGGTTCTGTTTCGTTTAGCGCGTGCGGCAATTTGTGGATCGGATTCGTGGGATCGTCGTCGTCGAACTACGGGCGTCATCTAGGATTCCTTGTTGTTGTTGGGAGTTTTGTAGTGCTATCGTACAACGGTACAAGACTACAGAGTTGACTGCTATTTAGTCTCGGATACATCCTGGAGATCATGCTAACTTGGTCAGTGTGCGCCTGAGAAATTTTGCAACAGTTTTATGGCAGGGGCGAAGCCAGGATAAGTCATCGCCGGGGTCAAGCGGTTGTACTTATATCCCGTTTAGTAGGGCTCCGGCTCTAGCTCTTCATGCGAAGCAGCTTCTCTGGTAATGTTATAGCTGTTTTGGAAACTGTTTGACAAAAACAGCTCCAGTGACTGTTTTGTAATGGTTTGTATTAGGTTTGTGAAGAGAATCCACTTTTTTCATCTCTCGCTCTATAAAAAAACGGCTCCGGTTCCTCCGGATGCCTTGCAAGAAGCCGCACGAAGCCGGAGCCAGAGCTCTGCCAAACGGGACCTATAGCTTGCGATAATAGTATAATAAAATAACATGCATAACATAACCTAATAATCGATAAAATAACAAATGACATATCGTGACAAATCACAATGTACTTTGGTTGCTTATAAAATTAGTCGGTGGTCTAATAATCTTTTTTACATTGAGAATTTGCAAGCAGCCATACATAAAAATCACTAATTTTATTACTTTAACGTTTTGCTGGAATAAGAAACAGGAGAAAGTTTTTTAATCCAATACAAGCAACAAAATGACATGTTTGCCTACGATTATATATTAGACCATGCTATTGTACTCCCGTTTCACCTGGGAGGTAAGATTCAAATAAATCTAAACTCTTGATTTTTGTCTTTTTAGAATACATGCAATAAATAAATAGGAGTAATTAAAATATTTTTCTTTTAGAAAGAACATCCCAGAAATCTTGGCGCTTAAGTCGATCCCTATGCCTCCGTCGCGTTCTGTTTCGTATTCAGCATTTTCCGTCTCAAGTCCAAGCCACCAGGGGCACATTCGCGGGCCCAAAGCTAGGCGCACAGACGCGAGAAGCCGAGAAGGCAAGAACGACATCAGAACATGACAAGGCAGGGGAAAGGCAAGGCCGACTCGGAGCGTTGGACAACCGGAGCGATCAGAGTAGAAGGGGATCAAATTGGACTACTACTGGGCCTGCTGCATGCGTTTTTGACTTGATCATTAGCTTGTCATTAGATGGGCTATCGGGCTGCCGGGGCCTTGAATATTTTTTACCGGGGTCATAAGCGGTGAATGATCGCAGGGTACTGGACGTTAGCGCAAGGTCGTCGGGGTCGGCCGACCCCGACGCCATAACGTAGATTCGCCACTGTTTTATGGGACCATGTATACAAGATGTTTTCTTCTCGCGAGCCTGCAGATAGGCCATCTTTAACCTTGCGGGCAGGGTTTTATTGGTCGACCAGGGACCTTAGCTAGCATCTCTGACACAGAGTGCCACACATTTTCTGCTATATGCTTATCTGCCATAGACAGCCTAATGTGAGAAATGTTTCCTTGTTTTATGAACCGATAGCCCTACTTGTATTCCTCCTTGAGGTTTATATTTTATAGTTGATTCAAGTGAATATCATCATTTTGCTAATTCAGTACTGATTTTTAGGTTGCTGATTGCAGGATCATGTGAGAACTAGTACTTACAGAAATGCCATAATGCATCACAAAGATCTTATTTCAGGCAAGGTAATACTCGTTTAGCAATGTATAGTCTTGGGTAGGTGTTTTCCTGTATATGATATAGCTTTCTGTTCTGCTCAGTTAACTCTTGTGGTCTATGAAAATGATAACTTTCAGGTAGTTTTGGATGTGGGTTGTGGCACTGGTGTTCTTTCGATATTTTGTGCTTTCGCTGGTGCCACTCGTGTAAGTTTTTAGTTATTAGTTGCACACTTATGCATTTCTGATGATCTTATCAATGTAGGAAAACTGATGTTTTTTTAATCCCTCACTCTATAGATGCTACTATATTCCTCATATTTTCTGCTGTTGCTCATGCACCATCCATCCACATAAACGTCATCTACCTAAGAACCACTACCTTTGGGAATTGATACTTAGCAGGCAAACATTAATCAATATGCTGAATCCATATTCATTTATTTGGTTTTTTACTGTATATTTGAAAAACACGTGCTAACTAAGAACTTGAGATTATATATTTTCTTGACATTATTATAAAGGCACTCTCTGTCATGCACACGATGATAGGTGGGATGGGCCAACATCAGTGTGAGAATCCGGTGGATAAACAATATTGTCTCTAAATCATTATTACGATTTAAGGGGCAGAACAGTTGATGCTCTCCAGTGCAACTGTTCTAAGAAACTAAACATCCTCTGTATACTCACTCCTATTTGCAGTATGACAATGAAATTATGAACATTCCAATAATTTCATTGTACTCTGGATTAACCTATTATAGTAATAGTTGGATACTTGACTTGAGAAATTGTGCATTTCATTCAGTTGGCTATAAAGCTGTGTGAATGCACTGATCATTTTATCTGTACCAGGATATATCTTGTGCTTGATATTACCAAATACTAGAAGCATCCATGTTTACTCTTTTATGATTTAAAAGCGTATTTATCTTTGTTGCTGAGACATTTGACTTTTTTTGTTCTTTTTAAATGCATGAAGTATGTAGTGTGGTGCTACTAGTTCTTTTTGCATGGGTGCTGTAATTTGTTATTCAGTTATGTACTACAACATGTGATGCAATATTTACTGATATAGATGAATGATTTTATTTGTTTTTATTCTTTATTATTCATCTCCTTGAATGAGTTTATTATGTTCTCAGGTTTATGCAGTTGATGCAAGTGATATTGCATTGCAGGTAAACTCTTCTGACTCCCTATTTTCCCTTTCAGTTGGGATTGCCAATCTACAATCATGTTTTGCTGAGCCATAGTAGTTTTTTTGCTGCACAGATGTATTAACTTACGTTGTCAAATTGGAGAATAAACCTTGAATTGAAAAGGTCCATCCTCCCAGCCCTTCTTTATGCTTACTTAGGAACTCGCAAGAACTAAAAAATAATTATGCTTAGGGCAACAGTTTTTTGTGTAGCTTGGTTGTCCCAGTAGGAAAGAGTGCCTCCTGTCAATGATAGTGAAATACAACATGGAGAGCATGCCTTTATGATCAAATAGTTTTGTTCTTAAAATGCTTTTTCCATTTTTTTCTGTATACTATCTGTAGTATTACTTCTGTATCTTATTATTAGCTTCTATAAGTTCTACTAATGTTGATGCTGAACATTCTTTTAAACTAAACAATTTTAGGCTATGGAGATTGTAAGAGAGAATGAGCTGTCTGACAAAGTTGTGGTTTTGCATGGCCGAATTGAGGTACACGCCTCTGTCAAATTTTTGCCATTTTGTCACTGTTTGCATATACCCAAATCTTTATTGTATTTTTGTGAGTTTTTTCCCATACTTACCAGTTATAGCCAGTAATCACCATCCTTCAAATTCTATTTTGTTGTGGGTTTTATCAGTTATCACCATCCTTAAAATTCTATTGGGAGAATTATGTATTTGCCACTGAAACAAATCAGTCTTCCGCATTTGGTACTAAAAAATTTGAACTTTCTTATTTGGCACCAAGTTGAAATTTTCTTCCCTAGATAGCACTGCCGTCCATTTGGGCTAGTAACGGCGTCAAGTGGCTGGTAAAATGACATGAATACCCTTCTTTGTAGCAGAAATACATGATGCCAAATAGGAAAATAATAGATGGACATGTTGTCAAATAAGAAAATTATAAATATCACAAATATATTGTGAACTAAAACATGGGATTTTGATAATAGAAGTCTGCAAATAAATAAATAATAAATTTCAAATTCTAAGGCAAGAGCAGGTCCCACTAGGGTAGGCTTAGCACGGGAGGGATTTGTCCTGTCTAGTTAGCTTGGTCAGAAATTGTTTGATGCAGTTTAGCAGCTCGCTCATCTCAGTTTGGTCAGTTCTATATTCTTGTCAGATCATCGCAAGACATGAAGACAACAACAAACAAATATTTCTCCACAAATGCTTAGAATAGTACAGGTTTGAGCATCTGGTGTCACAGCTAGCCAATCATCTAGAGTTCTCCATAATTAAACATCAGAAGTATACAAGTACTCATGTTTCTCGCTCAATCACCGAAACTATGAATTACTCCATCTGTCCCTAAATGTTTGTCGTCACGATTTGCGTGTCGATAACTTTGACTCGATTTATAGAAAATACATATAATATTTCTATCTCCAAATATATTTATTAAAAAATTAAATTTAAATATCTATCCAATGATACTAATTATGTACGTATCATCCACGATCCATTTTGGGTTTGGGTCTCCATATGGGTGATCCATTGGAGACAGTCTCATAGCAACTTGCCGGAGCAGATCGAGAGAGGCACTGCCTCTGCCGGTGGGAGACGCGCGCCACCGGCGGCTGTGGAGGTCGTGCGGGATGGCAGTCTATCCGCATACGAACCTCAAGCGGTTCATCCGCCGTCACATGCTCCCTAGGATCTGATCGGAAAGCACACCTCTGGGGAATCAAACATCGAAATCACACACATTGAAACATATAAATATAAACCATTATAAGAAAAAAACATAGAAACATGGAATCAAGCATACAACCGGCAGCCGTCCTTGTAGTCAGCAGCCTAGAGGTGGCCGTCAAGGCACACGCCTGGGCTCCGCCAGCCGGTGACCATGCCGTCCAGGGTCTGCTCGCGTTAGGAGACGATGGGCTATTCGAATCAGAGGAACCGTGCTTGAGGGGGAAGGCGACTCCCATATCGCACGGAGTCGCGTCAACCAGGAGGATGCGCTGACGGAGCCACAGAGATGAGCTCGATTCGAAGGTAGAGGGCGACGAGGAGGCCGCAGGCCACGGCGTGGACGCGAGCAGGGCCGGTGCCAACGTCGAAGCTGCTGCTGCCCTTGACGCAGAGCATCCTCGCCGGTGGGGGAAGGGGCAACCGCTGCTGCTGCTTGTGGTGGGGGAAGGGGTCGCCGCCGCCGCTGGTGGTGGTGGGGTAAGGGGCCGCCGCGGCCGATGTTAGTGGTGGGGGAAGGGGCCGCCGCCGCTGCCGGTGGGGGAAGAGGCTGCGCGGCCGCTGGTGGTGGTGGGGGAAGAGGCTCCCGCTCCCCTGTCGTCACCGGATCTGCAAGAGGGGCCCGCCATGGCCAGTCAGGGAGGTGAGGTGAGAAGGATGCGCCGAGATCCACCACCACATACCGTCAAGGAAGGGGATGGCAGAGCCGCCGCGAGCTGCTCTTCTGTGCGCCGTCGTCGAAGCTTCCTCACCGGATGCAGGGGAGATAGCCGCTGGACACCGTCGCCACGCTGCTGGCTGGCCGGAGGGGTCGCGCCGCCTCCGCCACGCCGTGGGCTGGCCGGAGCGTCGGCCCCGCCGCCGCGACCGCGCCACGGCCTGGCTCCGCCGGGTGAGGTCGCCCCACCAGAGGGCACGCGCAGCTGGTGTTGGGCGCCGCCGGCCACAACATCCTCCGCTCCATCATCCTCTCCTCATTCAATCAACCTAGTGTTTGGTGTTTTTTTTTTCGGGGAAGAAGGTCACGGACTCACGGGAGACAGCAGCGCTCGGGAAGTCCAGAGAGAAATTGGATGCGTGAGTAACAGAGGGTATGTTGGTCACACTAAGAAAAAACTGACACGGTCAAAATAATCAACTAACAGATGAATGGATGAAATGGACGGTAGTGCCATATAGGGAAGGAAATTTTAACTTGATGCCAGATAAGAAAGTTCAAAATTTTAAGTACCAAATACGAAAGACTGATTTGTTTCAGTGCCAAATACATAATTATCTCAATTCTATTTTGAGGCCTTCACTGTGCTATGCAACATGATTGTCTTTGATTCAAATGCAGGATGTCAATATCGAAGAAAAAGTTGATGTCATCATATCTGAATGGATGGGCTACATGCTTCTGTATGAGGTATATATCAGTATCTCTATAGTTTGGACAGTTGGGCTAATTTTATGCTCACTTCACATCAGTGCTGTTCTTGAAATTTCATATTTAGTCCTCTTGGTGCAGAGTATGCTGGGAAGCATAATTTTTGCTAGGGATAAATGGCTTAAGCCAGGAGGTCTTATTCTTCCATCGCATGCATCGGTAGGAGTTTGATAAAAGCATTATATAACAGTTAACTAGTTGAGGTGGATTCGTAGAGTTTTGAGGCTGAGATGCAAGTCGTATTTCTGTTGCAGCTTTACATGGCATCTGTCACAAATTCTCAGAGATACCATGATAGTATTTACTTCTGGCGAGATGTATATGGCATAAAAAGTGAGTTGAATTCTCCCATTCTTAGCTGGCTTAGTTATTTGTTTGTCATATGCGTAACTCTGGCTGTAGTATTTCTCTGAGGGTAACCCTTTTTCTCTCCCTTTACTTCAGTGTCCTCTATGACGCCTCTTGCAAAACAATGTGCGTTTATGGAGCCATCAGTTGAGACAATTAGTGGAGAGAATGTCTTGACATGGCCAACAGTGGTGAGTCCCAATTATTTGTTCTGCCAGAAGCACATTTTCCTATCAGCTTGACATGCATTTTACACACACATCACTCAGGCTTCAGCATGTAATTCTTGTCTTAGTCCTATTTTCTAGCTCTGCATGTGTCACCTTATATTTTTTTTTCTGACTACAATTTACTTTGGTTCCTGGAGCAGGTTGCACAGGTGGATTGTTATACCATACAAGCTCAGGAGCTTGAAACCATCACTGCTGCATTTAAATTTACGTCAATGTTGCAAGGTACGTTGTACTAGTTCTTTCTCTTTTTTTACACATATATGAAACAGGTATATCATATATCTATGATGGAAATAGATCATGATTCTATCGACTATCTACTAGATTTGCACAGCTGTTTTCCTCGACTGATAATTGATAAAGTGTACACATTGAGATGACCTGTCATAAACTCAGAATCATACCTTGTGCCTATATGTCAAGTTTAAGGCTTTTCCACTCTTGTTTGAAGTACATCCATTTCTTTTTATAGGTCATGTTAGATTCTGGGTGATTTTGGTGTTTATAGGCCTACACTAGTTTCAAAGCATGCATACGCTGCTTTGTTCCTGTTTTGCACTGGGTTGTTAACTGTAACTGAGGTTAGACATGCACGGTGGTGAGCGAGCTTTGCTCAGTGCATTCAGTTAAAGGGATGAGTATTAGTTGTAAGTTTTATTTCTCAACACTGAGAATGAGGATGGCACGCTACTTTTTCCATGTGTATCAATCCAGGATGTTTCTTAATTTCTGTGCCAAGGCTTAAGACACCCTACACTCTGAAATGTAGTACATCTTATATAGCCAATGTGATATTCCTATTGAAACTACTACAAATTTCCTAAAATAATATATAAGGGCTTATGGTAAAGCATAACTGCTATTTTTACCAGCACGATCAGGGATTTGTCTCTTGCTTGAGGCACTGTTGCTACAAGGTGATGATATTTAATAGTCTTGTACAAACCTGCATCAGTAGGCTGTTCAACTTTGGCCATTTATAGACAAATTTGGTTACATGAATGTTCTTTTATTCTTGTTTCTGAGGCTGTATGGGTGGGGCAGGGGTTCGGGGATTTTCTTGACCTGCGTGAGAAGGTTTTCTTCTTAATGCAATGCCCGGGGGCTGTCTTAACCCCTGCAGGTTGAGGGTTTTTTTTTTCCTGAGGCTGGTATGATCAAATATATCCTATCTGAAGTCTGATCCCTTCTACAATAGCTATTTTGAAAATTTATATTTATAAAGCTCTAAGATTGAGGTAACCAGAAAAGCAGAATGACTATGCTGCCCTTCCATCAAGTGCTTTGGGAAGTTAGGATATTTTCTAATGCTTGAGCTGGAATGCAATCAACAAGAGCATTTGAGAGAAACATCCATACACGTGACTTATTTTGAGGTGACGCTAATAAATCCACCTCTTCTATGTAGCTCATTATGGAGATATATTAATCTCGCTTGTCTTATGATTTTGTGACTGCTTGCCCAGTTACAGGCCTGATTAGAGTTTAGTTTTTACCCATGATTGCTGGAATATAATGTGCTGCGTGTGGTGTTTGGACAAGCTTTTTACCCATGATCGCTAACTCCGCCTATGTTGTCTCAACATAGCAGGTCCCAAGCCCTGGTAAAGGAGGAGGGTTGTGATAGGCGTGGCGAGCCCAACGTTAAATCTAGCCATTCTAATGGAGATGAAACCCGAAAGAAAAGATGAAAGCCGGACAACAGTGAATCAGAAACTGGAGCTATGGCGGGAGACTTTGGAGTCCAAAGGTTTTAGACTTAGTAGAACTAAAACTGAGTATATGAGATGTGACTTCGGCACTACTACTCGGGAGGAGGAAGATATTAGTTTGGAAGGTCAAGTAGTGCCTAGGAAGGATATCTTTCGATATTTAGAATCAATGCTACAGAGAGACGGGGATATTGATGTATTGATGAAGATGTTAGCCATAGAATCAAAGCAGGGTGGATGAAGTGGCGCCAAGCATCTGGTGTCTTATGTGACAAAAGGGTACCATAGAAGCTAAAAGGCAAGTTTTATAGGACGACGATTAGACCTGCTATGTTGTATGGTGCAGAATGTTGGCATACGAAAAGACGACATGTTCAACAGATAAGTGTCACGGAAATGCGTATGTTGCGTTGGATTTGCGGTCATACAAGAAGGGGTCGAGTTCGGAACGATGATATACGTGATAGATTAGGGGTAGCACCAATTGAAGAAAAGCTTGTCCAACACCGGTTAAGATGGTTTGTACATGTCCAACGGAGACCTCTAGAGGCACCGGTGCGTAGTGGAATCCTAAGCCAGGATAGTAACGTGAAGAGAGGCAGAGGAAGACCGAAGTTGACTTGGGTAGAGGCAATAAAATAAGACTTGAAAGGATGAAATATGCCCAAAGACTTAGGCTTAGATACGAGTGCTTGGAAAACAGCTATTCACGTGCCTGAACCTTGATTGCTTCTGCTGTGTTTCAACTCTAGCCTATCCCAACTTGTTTGAGACTTAAAGGCTTTGTTGGTGTGGTGGTGGTGGTGGTGGTGTTTGGTCTGATACAGGTATAGTTAAATTAATTAACACCCCGGTCAGAGCAATCGCGCTTTTGTTGCCACTGTCATGATCTAAACCGCTACTTTGTTTGGTCAGGCCTTCTTCTGCTGTCATGTCTTGGTTAACTGTTTTCTCATAGTGAACTCTGTTGAGTAGTCACGTTGCCATAAAACTTTTGCTAGTGATCGTCATTTGAAATTATATTGATTTAGCATGCTTGATCTTTGTTGAGATTGTGTTTATATCATGTACGTGTTACTTAGTGTAGATGGGAAAATAGTGCTAATTGTGCTCTCTCTGTATCTTGTGTTATTTTTTTAGCTCCATTGCATGGTTTTGCATTTTGGTTCGATGTTGAGTTCAATGGACCAGTACGCCAGAAATCCAAGAAGCAACCTAGTCAATCATCGGATGGGAACGCCCAAAATGCCAGCCCAAGCAGTAAGAAGAAAAAACCAGATGTCTCTATTGTTCTTTCAACTGCACCAGAGGATGCCCCTACTCACTGGCAGCAGGTGATTGTTTTCCACAGCAACATATTGATTTTCTTTTACATAAAGATATACTAGGTATGGTTCTGTTGAAATTTCTACACGATTACATTATTAACATCCACAATACTGATTCAGAATTGTTTTCTTATCAGACCCTACTGTACTTGTTTGAACCTATTGAACTAAACAAAGATCAGATCATAGAAGGTTCTGTTACCGTCTCCCAGAGCCAGCAACATGCTCGCTTCCTTAACATCTGCCTGAAATACTTGTGAGACTTCTTGTTCTGGTTTATTTCAGCTTTCTCATGTGTTTGGTCATTTTCAAGCTTGAATAACGCTGGATTTCAACCGTCCTTGCAGTACTGGCGACCAATGGTATGTCAAAGAATCTGTGATGCGATAATCTGGGGGAAACTGAAACATAGTAACCTTTCTGAATGTCTCAAATCTGTTGTGTATGATGGACAACCTTGCTGCTGGTCATTGCGGTTTAGGAGCATTCTGACTGCACTGGGTTGTCGAGGTGCAAATTGATCAAAAAATGGAGTGCCATTTCGAGTGCAGCTTGATCAAAATGGTAGTGGGCCCCGACAAGTAATATGTGAATCTTTGGCTCCAAACTCAATTGATGAACAAAAAAACATAGGAGAACTACACGTTGACCAGAGTAGCACACTTTTCTTTTTTCATTCTTTTGACAAGGTACTAGTCCTGAGCTCAGTTGCTGGTACTCTATTTTTCATAATAGACTGCCCATTCTTTGTAATTGTGACGCTTCTGCGGCATGTAGTGCAGCATAGACGGTATGATTCTCCAAATGGCAGCATGGAATTTTTATGAGTGTAGTTTTCGAATTAGTAACATGCATGAATGGCCATGGTGCTTGTCAGTTTGTTTCAATTTGGCCATCGTACTTGGTAAGTATAAATCGCGGCCGTAAAGCTAACACGGCTACACCGATAAGGTCATTAGCTCCTTAATCATACGTATTTGATTTAAGTAGAAAAGGTTTCGTTGATGACAATGGACAAATCACAGCGTATACTCCATCCTTTTTTCATTTACGCTCACCTCGCCTTCATTTAGTATTCGTAACATCCCCAAGTATAACATCCTGCTTAAGAACTGTGGTTTTCATCTACAGCATTCCTCAGTATGCGTCACCTCCCCAAGTGTGATATCGTGCGTAAGTTTTTTCAATATGTGCTCCTATTTCATCCGTTTTTTGCTTATATTAAGTTGTTTTCGTTTCAACTAAATAATTGAGTTAGCTATGCGATACATGCGCCATGTTCGTTTGGCTTATAAGCCGTACTTTTTCAGCCAACAAACAGTATTTTTCTCTCACAACAAATCAGCTAATAGTAATTTCAGCCATTGCTTATCAGCCAAGCGAATATGGCACATATGTGTATTCTAGAAGCTAGAGAATTGCCGCTAAGAAAGTGTAGTGTGCTATAATTGCGGTAATGAATTAAATAATACTTTAAAAAGCTATAGCATACATGGCTAATGGTGCGGTGTGGCAAACTTACATAACCAAAATGGTAATGATCAGGGGAGACCGTCCGTCCGATCGGATGCCACCTTCTTGGGCCTACGTGCCCCACCAAGCCTGCCTCTTATGTCTCCCACATCTTTCTTTCTCTCAAAAATATCTATCCACTTCCTCGCCCATCGCATGCTTCATGGCGCCGTGCGACCGTTCGTCCGCTCCACTTCGCATTTGCCCCCGCAGCCATCTCCCCGCATGCACACCCCACCCTGTGCTATTCGCTTCTCGCTCCTGCCCGTCGCACGCGCCCACCTGCGCCTCTCGCTCCTTTTTCCCGCAGTCCCAACCGCGCCACTCGCTCATGGGCCGTCGGGCGCGCCGCCCGCCTCTATCGGTGCTCGTGGTGCCGTCGCATGCCTCAGGTCGGGTCGGTCCCCAGTGAAAGCTCTAGTTTGTTTTTGGAGAATTGATAAAACCCTAAGTGCTAACCTAGTTTATCAAAGTGATTATGAGATAGGTAGCACTACTTCAAGTGATTAAGCATGTGAAGATCATGACATGATGATGGTGATGTCATGATGATGATAAAATGTTTGGACTTGGAAAAGGAGAAAGAAAAACAAAAGGTTCAAGGCAAATGTGAAATTGATAGGAGCTTTTTAGTTTAGTGATCGAGACACTTAGAGAGTGTGATCACATTTAGGATCGATAGCCGTACTATTAAGAGGGGTGAAACTCGTATCGAAATGCGGTTATCAAAGGGCCACTAGATGCTCTAACTCATTGCATATGCATTTAGAATATAGTGGAGTGCTAACACCCTTGAAAATATTTGTGAAAATATGCTAACACACATGCACAAAGGTGATACACATTGTGTTTAGCACTTGGGAGCAATGGTTCGAAACTTCACCGGCGGAGTGTCCGCCCGTAGAGTGCGGACAGTCCGACGGTGCCACTGGCGCCCTATATAGAAAAGACAGGGTTTCACAGAGTGCACCGGACGCTGGTCATGCAGTGACCGGACACTGAGGTCCTGCGTCTGGTCAGTGGCGCGCAGTGAAGACTACCCTCGGCCTCTTGACCAGACGTAGGCGACTGGACATAGGCTGAACACTATTCAGCGTCCGGTCGTGCTGATGTGGCGACGCACAGAGGAGACAGTGAGTGATCGGACGCTGGGTGAGTCTGGTCGGTGGTGACCGGACACGTCCGATCGCTAGTGGAACCTTACTAGAAACGACCGGATGCTGGGGTCCTGCGTCCGGTCACTTTCAAGCAGCACGTCCAGTCACAACTTAAATGTACCGATGACAGTTGAGATCGGGTGATCAGCGTTTGAAGCAGGGGACACGTGGCGTGCATCGCGCGACCGGACGCTGGGGTCCTACGTCCGGTCGATCTGACCGGCGCGTCCGGCCACCCCGATTTTTCAGAGAACAGAGAGCTAACAGCTCTATTCGTGGGGGCTCTCTATTTAAGCCCCATGGCCGGCTCAAGCTCACTTTCTTGGCCATTTACATTGACATAGCAACCTTGTGAGCTTAGCCAAAGTCCTTTCACTCATCTCCATCATTGATTCATCATCTTTGTGAGATTGGGAGAGAATCCAAGTGTATTGCTTGAGTGGTTGCATCTAGAGGCACTTGGTGTTCGTGTTTCACTGCTGGATTCGCTTGTTGCTCTTGGTGGTTGCCACCACCTAGATGGCTTGGTGCAGCGGAGGAGGATTGACATGAGTTGGTGATTGTTCGTGGCCATCTCCGGTGATTGTGAGGGGACTTGTACCTTCCCTGGCGGAGTGCCGAAAGATAACACTAGTGGATTGCTCATGTCATTGAGTTACCTCACTTGTGGGTAGGTTCTTGCGGTGTCCAATTGTGTGGACGAGGTTCGTGCAACACCTCTTAGCCGCCGAACCACCAAGTGTTGGTGGACACAACGGAGACGTAGCGTGTTGGCAAGCACATGAACCTCAGGAGAAAATTGGTTGTCTCTTGCCCTTTGGTATTCTCCCGATGATTGATTTAGTGTTCATCTTGTGATTGGTTCACTTCTCTACACTGCGGTATAATCACCCTACTCACTCATTTATATTCTCGTAAACTAGTTGTAGTAAGCTCTTTAGTGTAATTAGAATTGAGAGCTTGCTTTGTAGTTTGAGTTCATCTAGTGGAGCTCTTTAGTGTAGCAAGTGTGAGATCTCTTAGCGAGTAGTGACTTAGCAAATTGTGTGTCTAGTGATCATAGAAACTAGAATTGTTGGATAGGTGGCTTGCAACCCTTGTAGAGCTAGAGCAAGTTTGCATTTCGCCATTTGTTATACTAATCAAATTGCTCTAGTTCGTTTGTAGATTTTTAAATAGGCTATTCACCCCCCTCTAGCCATATTAGGACCTTTCACCCAGCCGAGCCAAGGGCACCCATGAGCGCGGCCTATGCTAGTGGTGCTCGCTCCCTGTTGATGGTCATTAACATCAATTATAAACCATCAATATAACCTGCATATATATTTAATTCTATCACCAAACATAGGTCTTGGGGTTTAAACTAATAAATTCCATGAGTTTTGGTGAATCTGTGTTTTCAGCAGGGTTTATCCAGAAAACCGTTAAGGTGGACCTATTCGTCAAAGTAAATCACGTTTATCTATAGTGAAACCAACGTGGGAATATTCTAGAACACTCCAGAAGGTAAACCACCGAGACCCACGTCCAGGGGCTGACATGTGGGGCCAGCCGGCCCCATCTATAGGCCGGCCAGTCTGTGGGACCCATGGGTCAGTCTCTCCTTTGAATCTTGGTTCTCCACCGCCTTGAAGATCACATCTACGTCGTTCTTTTAAGTCGGTATGATCCGAGGGTCCAGAATTGATGCTACCCCCTATATATAACAGCCCCTACCCCTTAAGCCATCCTAAAACCCTAATTCATATCCTTCTCAACAGGATCAGAGCCAGCTATCAAAAGAAGATTAGTCCTCCATATGATCTAGTCTTGTAACTAGAAATAGTGAGATAGAGAGTGAGAGAAGAGTTTGGAGGAAGTGTCGGCCTATCAGTGCTCTCTCTACGGCTTGTACCTTGGTGGATCCAAGTTCTACTTGAGCTTGCTTCTGAGACATCTCTGGTAATCAACTTCTAATTCAAGTAAGCATCGTATTTATATTGTTCTTTAGGTTTGTGACTCTTTTGAGTACTTTAATCTATTGATCATAGGTTAAAGTAGTATTCGTAGTGTAAGCATGGTGCTTAGACTCGGTTACTCGTGGTTGTACCCTACATTCTGGATCGGTGGTAGCTCGCGAGGGTGACTCTTATAGCCTCGTTGAATCATTTGTAGTCCACCTCCCGTTTGTAGGCCGAGCAAGACCTAGTTACTATAGGAAACATACTATGCCTGTGTTTTCCTTAGCAATATCCCTAGAATTGAACAATCGAAGACATAGCTTACCGAAGTCAGAACTAGAGAGCCTTAGTAGTCCTCTCTACGCTTCTGTTTATCTTAAGTCTTGTTGCTACTCCTGGTTAAGTTAGATTGTAGTTAATCTCACACGTTTCCCTGTAGATACGATACTTAGAATACTTTCGGGTGAAAGCTACAGCGGTATCCATGCGCTTGCGGATTTATCTATGTGCGTTAATAAATACCAATAAGCTTTCTGGCGCCGTTGCCGGGGAAACAGTTGCTGAATTAACTACGAACCTAGCTTAACTTTGTATATTTTTTTATTTGAACTTTTCTTTTAGCATGGATAACACTCCTATATATCAATATGCTAAACCTACGAGCGCACGCCTAGAGCTACCAAAATCTTCAAAGCCTATCCTAACACCTGGTTATGAGCTACACCCATGTTTAATAAAATTGATTCGAGAACAATCCTTCTCGAGAAAAGGCGATGAAAAC